CTAAGCAAGGAAATTGGTCTACAGAAAAATTCAAACAAATAAGAAAAAAAGCATATGGGTTTTTACTTCGAGATGGATTCTTACGGAAGAGACCAAAGAAAGGAATTGGGATGCTACAACGAGTGATAGGTAAAAAGGAAGAAAAACTAAAATTATTAAAGGAGTTTCATGATAGTTTATGGGCAGGGCATAGAGAAATCTGGACTACTTTTGCTAAACTCAAGGAACGATATTGTTGGAAAAATATGTATCGAGATGTGCTTTCATTTGTAGAGTCATGTGAAATCTGTCAATCGTATTCTAATATTCGACATCGAGATGGTCTTCATCCTACGTATCCTCTGGCTATTCATTTTAAATGGGTTGTTGATTTGGTTATTATGCCGGTTGGGTTATGGCAGATGAGGTATTTGGTTTTAGCTCGTGAAGATTTATCAAATCAAGTAGAAGGAAGAGCATTGAGGACAAAATCTACAGAGGAGATTTGTAGGTTTTTGCTTGAAGATGTCATTTGCTGCTACGGATGCATAGGAAAAATCACTGCAGATCATGGAGAATTAAATGCACAAGAAGCTCGTGAGTTCTTTGAAAGATGTGGAGTTAAACTATCACTGACTACTGCTTATAATCCAAAAGGGAATGCAAAAAGTGAACGCGGTCACCCACCGATTGTGAAAGCATTAGTTAAAGCTTGTAATAGGAAAGTTAAAGAGTGGCCACGGCTTTTGTCATTTGCATTATGGGTTGATCGAACAACACATAGTTCGGTGACAGGATATATGCCAGTAGAACTTATGATAGGTCAAAAACCAATTATGCCGATTGAAGAAAAGGTACTTACTTGGAGTATGCTACCATGGGAAGATGGATTGATAAGAGAGGAACTACTGGCTATTAGGATTGGACAATTAAAGCAAAAAACAGAAGATGTGCAGATAGCATTGGAAAGGTTAAAAAGAACAAGGTTACAAAACAAGGCGCGATTCGATAAGCAACATCGATTGAGACCAAAAGCAATCGAGGAAGGTGATTGGGTACTTGTTTATGACAATAGTCTGGATAATCAACATAGTACTTTGCGAAAATTTTCAAAACGTTGGTTTAGACCATATGTAGTAATAACTATTCATGATAATGCGACTTACTCATTATGGGAGTTAGATGGTACAAAATTGAAAATACCAATTGTAGGGAAGCAAATAAAAATATTTAAACGAAGAGACGTGGAGATGAATATGGAAGACCTTAATGAAAGTATAGAGATTCCGCAGCAAAAAGATGAAAGTGATTTGGATAATGAAGGTGACGAAGACGAACTGGACAAAGACGTAGAGGATATATTCTGAATCAAATATTAATTGGATAAATTGGAACATACCGGAGGATGTACAGGTTCAGAGGGGGTGGATGTCATGTTGTAACACGAGTATACCGTGAAAATATAAAGAAAGGGGACTTTTATTAATATTCAGTAACCTCGAATATTGGGAGCATCGACCAACTCTAGTGCAAATACTGAGTGGCCAGGTTCAATCACCCCGTTACAGTCAGCCGGGGCATACTGAAATGCTCCATTCGATTCCAATAACGGGAGTCAGCAGGAAAGGAAAGGACCAATTCATGCGATGGGTGAGCCTAGTTCGAAGAGCCAATTGGATCCAATTTCGAGAATCCAATCCGGGTCTTACTAGTAGACTCTTATCCAATATGAGACCCGAATTGGCTGGGCAACCCAATGCAGTTTAATTATGGGAACATGTAGGTCTTACTACAAGCCTCAGCCAATCTGATGCGAAGGACCAGTTTGATCCAATTACGGGGACATCCGGGTCTTACTACTGGACTCTTAGCCAATATGAGACCTGAATTGGTCGGGCAACTCAATGTGGTCCCGATTACGGGGTTTCGATTCTGTTTCAGGCTGTCCTGTTCTCTGTGCCGTTTTGGGGAACGTTGTTTTCGGTAAATGGATCTCTTAAAGATAAAAACGGAAGAGAAAAGCTTTGACGGTGGGAGCCAATTTCGGATCTAAGCTCTGACGATGGGAGCCAATTCCGGATCCAAGACGGAAGATTGAAGAAATTTAGAGGATAAGGTTAGGGGGAGAATAAGTTTTGGGGGGGTTTTTTTTGGATGGAAGAGCTAGCTTCAAGTTTTTTTTTCAAGGTTACTAGTTCAATTTTTCATTGGAGGTTGGAAGATCAGGAATTGGAGAGAAGCTTCATGCTTCGGGTCGGAGAAGAAAAGACAGAGAATTGGATTTTTCTTCTTCATAGAGTTTTGAGAAGACTGAGGCAATTGTTACTGAAGTCAGTGTTATAATGGTGAATCGGGATTTTTTAATGAAGTGGGTTTGATTACTCTTGACTGTTTTGTGAAATCGAGTTACGTCTTTGATTGAAGAATTAAAAGGGTGTCTATAGGATTGAGTATGTGGAGTGAATGAAATTTATTGGGTTAATCTAACAAGACAGTCAGTGGATACAAGGTCGTAAGTACAAAGCGGTATTGAAGATTAACAATTTGGGTTGTTCGGGGTTCTCTGTAACGTCTAGAGACCTACCAACCGGGGCAAAAAGGACTTCGACAAGCAGTCGAAGGGCATCCGTATAGATTTACAATATATTCTTATAGTCGTTTATATTCCAGCAGTCAAAAACTGATAGACTGCTTGACTATTGGCGAATCTCTATACTACCTTCTACAGCCAGACGCCTGGTGCGTTCTCGAGTAGGAAAGCACGTAATACGACAACGTATAGATTTTTTGATTTTGTAACAAATTGTAAATCTACTATTCTTGTTTAGCAATTTTTAATTGAATGACATGATTTCTTACAAAAAAAATATTTCTTTTCAATAGCATAATTTTTCTTTTTATATAGTTTAGAGTTTCTACTCTCTCTATATAAATCATTTTTAAACTAATTATTAAAATAAAATTTCTTGTTGTGATTCAATTTATTTTTTTATATATATAAAATTGATGTATTATCAAATATTAGGTTCATGTTTTTCACAAAGTTTATAAATTAAATCTATTATCAAAGATTATAATGTGATTCCAAGCTATTTTCTTAAAGAGCTAATGAAGGATTGATAACATAGAAGAGAACTTCTCATTAAAGTAAGAATTGCCTTAGCATCTGGAATTACTGATCTTATTGCCAACAATTTTTCTAAATATACTCTAAATATATGTATTTGTTTAATAATACTATCACCTCCTCTCATCTTTAAGGTGTGTAATTTGTCTTTTAAATATACTTTTGTTATATCTTATAATCTAAATATTCTTATTAATTCTTATGATACTAAAGTGTTGATGTGTAAGATTGTATATATAAAAAAATATTATTTTATAGGTAATTTTTAATTATTATTAAATACAAGGTATTATTGTTTATCCATGCACTTATATTCTTTACTCATATGGCAAATAAGTTGGAATCCTAGCAGCAATTTTAGCTACTATTGTTGCCATTGGTAAGAATTCTTCACCTCTTACTATAGGCTATAATTTTTTATCCTTGAAAACTAATTTAGTCTATATTTTGTATATTAAAATAATAACCATTAAATTTTGGAACATGATTGATGTCCATCTTTTGTATCATCTTTAATAGTCTTAATTTGAAGTTGATTTGAAATCAATTATTAATTTATTTTTGAATAATTTAATTTTACTTTTTCTTGTAGTTTATATTTTTTAATTTGTATCTTCAAACTTGCTTTTCATGGTTTCAAGAACTTCAAGTTCTTCATCAATCTTTTCTATTATAATAGATTATTTTATTATTATCATTATGATCTAATTTATAATTTTAACAATTCTTTTTAAATAAAGCATTCATTTACATTCATATTTTTAACAATCAAATAACTTATTATTTGTAGTCAAAATTAGACTACAAATTAATCAAAAGCTTATATTTATCCTATAACCTTGCAAAAACTAAGTGAAAAGATAAATTTAAGATTAAATTTATTTTTAAATATAAATATTTTAATTTTAATTTTAATTTTAATTTTAATTTTAAACCAAAAAAATATTATTAAATATACACAAAAATTGATACTAAGAAGTAGATATAAATATTATATAATTTAATTCAATTATTTTTATATTTTATAAACTATAAATGTCTTTTAAAGCAAAATCAAGTATATATTACTTTTAGGAATATATTCAAGTATATAAAACATGAAATATGGCAACTTCACTATTATATAAAATACTAATTAGTCCAAATCATTGTAAACTAAGATAAGCATTGTTCTTCTTTTCTTACTCTTTTAAATTGTAACAAGAAATTTTGTAGTTCTATTATAATTGTAATTGAAAGCTTAAAACTAACAAAGGATTTACTTAAATTTATTTATTTATTGATAATATAAATACATAAAATACTTTAGTATTTAAAATAAAATTTAGAGTAATAAATATGCTAAAAAAATATCATCAAATCATATAGAAAGTCATTTATACCAAAATATATATATATATATATATATATATATATATATACACCTTATTTTTGAAACATTAGAATAAATCAAAGATGGCTTAAAAAATAAAATAACATAAAAAAGAATGAAAAAACCTTAAAATTCTTGATTTTTTACAACAACCTTATAACTTAAAAACCAAAATAAAATAAATAAATAAATAAATGATAAGATATGATTAAGTGTTATATATATATAGATAGATAGATAGATAGATAGATAGATAGATATCTCTTAAATATTCTTGTATTCATTTTGCTTAAAAAAAAGGATGAAATTCTCTTTAATTCACTATTTAATCTAAGCTACAATTCAACCTATTTGTATTTGAAAGAAGAAAAATAAAATAAAAATACACATTGTTGTAGCTTTTGGAATTCAAATTCTTAACCATTCTATCCACTATGCCAAATAGTTTTTATATTAGGTATGCAATAAGGTAGAAGATCTATTTCTAATAACTTAAATATTTTAGTATATTTGCAATAAGTATAAATATAAGATGTACTATGAATTTTATTTATTACTCACAACTTAATATCATTTTAACCACCCCAATCTATTTCCAATATTAGCTTAACATCATTTTAACCAACCCCCACCTATTTCCAACCAACAAATGTCAGAGTTTGTTGACAATAGGTTGTCAAAACTACCAAAAATACTCCACCACATAGGTTGGAAATGGAAGTGGTTGACAATGGGTTGGCTACCTTAAACCTACATTCCTTAAACAGTTAAAGATTTTGAGATGCAAAGCACATTCAATGAAGGTCAAGGTCAACTGTAGGAGAGATGCAATGGCGCTGGTCCAAGTCCATATTTGGTCTTTTGAATTTGCCTAGCTCATGACATATGTAAGCCATTAATGCCTTTGGCAGATCTCTCGAATTCTCTGCCACTCCCACAACCTGCAAGTTTTCAGATTGCTCATAATTCAGTTGAAAGATAAATAAATTGTGAAGCACTTTTACTAATGGACTCACTCCGAAATTGTCCGAAAGCTCTAGAAAATTTCTAGACCCACAGGTGTACCTTGGGAGTTATACCGAGAATGGATGCCGCTTCTGTGATGTAAAATTGTACATTCTCGTTGTTTGCACTTTTACACTGCTCAATCATCAAGAAAATAGTTTATCCTCAGAGAACCACAGCCAGTGAAGAGTGATGCATGTATAGATCATCAAATGGAATTAAAGTATAATAACCTTATTGGTGAGTTGTGCAAGGCGAACGAAGGGTGAGGCAAAGCAATCGTCTAGATCAAAAAGATCGAGCGCTGGAGGAGGAGGATCTCTTAATGCAGGTGGAAACACTGCCGGTTGTAGAGGCGGCATCGGCACCTCGAACTGAAAAGCAATCATCCATCATTTGCACCAATTTGAAAATGTACAGCATGCATCTCACCATGAATTATCAAATTTCGTGGATCTGCCTCTTTCACAACTATCTTTTCTTCGAATGTGAAAATAATGATTAAAAAACAGCTAGAGCTTAGAATGCACATGCACTGAATGATAACGTGCTTGAATCGGTCTACCGAGTGCACCTAGGAGGTTTGAGTCACCTGAGGAGTAATAAGTGTTAGAGGGGCATGCTTGACTCCAAGCTGCTTGTACAATGATTTGACATTTGGAATCAAATTCGTATGATACTCAAAGAGCTTCTCATCCAGAAGTTTTGAACAATCCTTAGGCAGTTCTTCTGATTCCTGTGTGACACCAGATACACATCCATGCCACTCCCAAACTCAGACAATCGACTTATTTCATTCCTCATTCAGAGGGCTTGTAAATGCGTCACAAGCACCTGCAAGCAACATCGAAGTCGGTTTGCTAAAGCTTGCGTGTCAGGAACACACAAAACATCATTGGTTTCCACTTCATCCATGCTGATTTCGTCCACCTGCTCAATCTCGAAACTAATTAGAAAAACTTCCACGAAAATTGACTTTCAATTTCCTCTGCACTTTTCATTTATTTACTTAGTTATAATTACTATCATCAGTTTTCAAATCTCATCTACGGCTCAAACCAAGTGACATTGTCACGATGAACATTACAGTGCTTAAGAACAACCTCTAGTTTGGTTTTGTTGATCAGCCAAGAAAAGAGAAATTCCAACAGCTTGGCGTTATCCTCTTTATCCAACCAAGCATCGTCAAACATGGCGGCGCTGCCGATCACTGCTACCTTTCCTAATTTCCTCGCACCGCAAGAAATCGCACCTGCATTAAAGAAAACAGCACATGTAAAGGATCCAATTCTACTCAGAGTATAGCAACTACGTTGGATCGAGAATCGATTCACGAAGTATTTCATTATACTTATTTAATTAGTTAGGAGCAGAAGGTCAAATGGAGAGACAGTCCCGTATGTGAGAACGATCTAAGATGAACCTGATAGTGGCGGGGGAGTGATTCTTGTATCGCAAGTCGAGTGAAATACACATCAATTGGAGTAAAGAACTGGAGCACACAGTCTTCGAGTAGGCTCTGACCTAGAGGACGGTGAATCGGAATGGCTAAAACGCCAGAGGACAGAATGGGAGCTGCAGGACGCTGCACTGACAAAGTAGCGCCGTAAGGATAGACGATGTGCATCTCCCCCCGCTCGTTGCTGCTGCTGCTCCCCATCCCTCCTTCGAACTCCTCTTCCTCATTCCACCGCAGCTGCAGCCTGCGCAGTTCATCCCCCACCAACACATTCATCCTCTCTTCATCGAAGTTTCATCTCATATATTCATCCGATGATTCGACAACGATTTCGTCCGTAAATCCACCACATTCGTCCATTCTGTACGTTCATCCTTCATTGCATTCTCAAATTCCAGACCTCTATTGGTTTAGGGTTTAATTTTAAATTTCTTGAATTATCCATAATGGGGTTGTAATTTTAAATCTGTAATATTATATTATGAAATTTAAAATAAATAAAAAAAATCATTCCAGTAGCATACATTCAAAAAAAAAAAAAAAAAATCAGTTAAGGAATCAAGGCAAACTTTGTTGTGTGGTTTGTGCTGATACTCTTGTGCACGCACTTTGAATCCTTATTTGGAACCTATGGTTGAAAAAATTACCAAAATATACCAATAAATAAATAAATAAATATTTAATAAGAAATAATTGTATGGTAAAATACCCATTATGGATAATTCAAGAAATTTATAAATTAATTTTACAATGGAAATTATAGTGATAATGATAATAGTCTTTAGCAACAATGGGCTGAAATTTGTATTGTTCATCAATAGATATAGTATGATCAATGCTTTAAATTTTGTATGACTAACATTTGTTATGCTTTTGCTCAAGATTCCATCTGATATGAAAACCTCTTTGGGATGCAAATATTTCTCTTGTATTGGTTGAACCTATAAAAGTTAAACGAATGTTAAATATTTTGTGTCAAAACAGTAATAGTGTATTATAGACTTATTCAAATACATAATTTCATAAAGAAATATACTGTAATTACTTAAAAAAAAAAAAAAAAAAAAAAAATGTAACATGTAACAAATTTAATTGCTGAGAAAGTTGTTGAGCAATTTGACATACAACACAGTCCAAATTTATTGTCACACCATAATCTTCCAATAATATATCAAAGCTTTTATTCTTTTTAACAACATAACTTTCTTTTCCCAAAAACAACATAGCACCTCCTTCATTAATGAATCTTTTCACATTTTCAACCTAAACATTTAACACAATATAAACATTACATGTAAATACCAAAAATTAAGTGGTATAATATTAAATAATTTTAATGAAATTATATATAAACTATCACATGTCAAACAAATACAATTTTTAAAAATTTGTATGAAGAAGCAGAACTGCAACACATTCAGGTATAATACTTTCCAATTGTTAACAATAGTATGATTGTGTATATGGACCTCGGTATTTGTAAAATCTTCTTTTGGGCAACCAAAAACAATAACATTGGTTTTTTGAAGAAGTTCATATGTGATTTCCTTCTTATTACTGTTTTTATTTGAATCAATAGTAATGCCTTTATTATAAATATTGTGCAATAATTAAATCACGTTTATTAAATTCGTGTTATAAATATATATATATATATATATATATATATATATATGATGAAAAAAATTATACATGCTTATATATATATATACATATGTGTGTGTGTGTGTTATTTTCTTAAAATTAAATATATTCTATTTTAGAAAACGTATTCAAGCAAAAACTTACACCACAATTTTAGATGTATTTCTCAGTTTTTTCACCATTTGCCTGTACCCTTGGCTTGGTGTATACAATTCTACAGAAAAATTAATACTTCATAATGAATGTCATTTCAGCAATAAATACTACTAAATCAAACATCTATTTAAAAACATCTATTTAAATTACCTTATTTTCTATGTCAAAATTTTACAAAAATATATTTTAATGTTGTGTATGCTTTGATGTTACCATTTTTAGAGCAATCAAAGACGATGCAGGGAAATCCGTCATTCTCAAGAACAGCATTAGAGACAGCATTGGAAACGTTTTCCATGTTTTGATTAAAATTCCAATATTGAACAAGTGTGATACTTTTGTAACTCAATTTTGAAACACAATCCCTTCAATAATAAAATCAAAAGCTATGTGATCATTTTGAAATGCTCTAACATTAGGTTTATCAAAATTTAATTAGTCAATGTATGCAAATTTTCAAAACTTTTCAGAATGTTGAAATAACGGCATTGAGTGAACAAATTATTTTGAATTGCAATGAAATTCATGTAATATATTATTATTATTAATACTCAATATTGAAGTGAAAGTAAAAGATTCTACTTGAGCATCTTCACCACATTTCTCAAAATTCAACATTTCATAAATTATTTATATTATAAACCCTAATATTGGTAAATATCATTCATATTTGTATTTAAATCAAATACTCAACATTTGAATGTATTTCAAGTTTCCTTTTTACTAAAGAGTTTGAATGCAAATTATTATCATTAAATTTTCATATCTTAATTTTGAACTACAATGAAATTAATAGAACTTTTCAAGTACTTAAGATTACTAGAGAGAACTTTATTTTATTTTATTTTATTTTTTATTAAGATTCTTGCTATATCAAATTCATTGATGAAAAAAGATCATCCAGAAATAACAGTTTACATGCATTTTTAAGTGAAGTACTAGATTCTGTTAAACAAATCGGTGTTGTTGATGAAAAAATCAACAGCAGCTCTATATTTGAATAAGAAATATACACGCATATATATATATATGTATATGTATATGTATGTATTTATTTATGTATGTATGTATTTATAGAAAACATATACATACATATATACATACAACTCATCTCCCATGCAATGAAACTTTGAATATGTAAAATAAAAAATAAAACTAAAAAACAGGAAGAAATAAAAAGAAAAAGAAAAAAGAAAAACTAGGCAAGAGGGATAGGCTAACTTTTCTTTGAAATTTCTAGTATTTTATGTTCATATTTGCCTAAGTCTATGATTTATTTTTATTTTTTATTTTTATTTATTTTATTTATTTATTTTTCTTTAGTGAGTAATTTGAAGCATGCTTAGTTCAAAAGTGACCTTTATTTGACTAAAAGTCTAAATTTTATCATGTGAATAATATGAGGTAATACAGAAAAGTATACTTTAATTATATTTTATACAATTGTTTTATAGCAGACAAATAAACTGAGTTTGAAAAAAATGTATAAAAAATGAAGATATTTATTTGAAACAAAATTTGATGAATACATAAATAAATAAATAAATAAATAAAAATATATATAATCATATAAATTAAATAATAAAATAGAATACAATAAAATACAAAGTTTGTAACATTTTAAACCTTCTCAAGGATATTTACAGAAGCTAATAAATACTAACAACAGCAAAGAACCTCAAGAAGAACAACCCAATTGTTAAGACCTTGAATAGTTCTTATTCTTATCTTGTTGTATTTCACCAAAATATTAGTCATTTATTATACACTTCAATTCACTCAAAGCTTTCAATGTGTATGTTTACAGAAAATTAAATAATCTGTAACCGTAATTGAATCTGACAACAAAGCAACGCTTATTTGAAATTGGTTTAGTGTTTTGATAAACTCTATTAATTTTTGTACCAAAACTTGCATTGTTTAATAATTGAAGTGTAAAATAAATGACTAGTATTTATTTATTTTATAAAATATCTTATAATTGATTAATTAATTTATTCATTTATTTATTTACATTAAATATTAAAAAAAATATTTAAAAGGAGTTTTTATTATACCACTAGAATGGGTAACCTGGAGTTAAAATTTTACCCTTCATTTTGAAAAGTAAAGGGTTGTGTGCAATAGCTGTGTCAATAATTAATACATACACTTTATTTGATTATTAGTTTCCACTGCAGCAAAACTATCAAAATTGATGTTTTCTTGCCTCTGTTTTCATTACTAATTCTTTCAAAATATTATTTTGGACTTTAAAATAAATATGTTCATTGAATTCCATTGCAAATATCAAGTGTGTTAAACATGATGATGTAATATGCAAATCCTAAAGCATTAAATGACATGGTTTTGAATTCTTAAATATATTTTATGTATGTGAATATATATATATATATATATATGTCGTTTAAAAAAAGAGAATTCGATTATTTTTTATTTTATTTTAAACACAATTATGTACACATTTTAATTTTTGATTACTATATATTATGATATAATATAAAAGAAAAACTTTAATGATATTAGAATAATTTTACTTTGTTGGGAAGAAAAAAGAAACAAAAACAACAAGATGCAAAATCTAGCCCCATATGTGTTAATGGAACAATTAAATAATGTAATAGTCTCTATAGTATCCATAAAAATTTAAACTTATATTGTCACAAGTTGAGATTTGTAAGATGAGTTCACCAAACCATTACATAAATACATCTACATGTTCCTATTACTATACAAATACCTGTGTACACTTTATTATCCAACAAATATATCCATAAGATAAAATATACTTGAGATTAATTCATCATCCAACCTAATTGGAGCTTTTATCATTTTTTTAGTAATTTATTTATATGTATATATATATAATATTTACCTTCATTATAAAAAATAAAAGAAAAAAGTTAAAAAATAAAATTCCAAAATATCAAATTATTATTTTTTAATTTATATTTTAAAAATATATTTTATGATTTTATACATTTTATTTATTTATTTATTCATTTAAATTTTAAACTAAAATATGATATTTTATTAATTACATAAAATATTCATTTGCTTTTTTAGTGCATTGCATTGAAGTTTACTTGATTTTTTTAATATCTTAACAACTTATTTTTAACATGTATTATATACTTCTACATTGTACAATTAAAATATACTAAAGTTTTATTATTTCAAATTTTGGTTGATTTATTGAATTAAAGAATATTTATTAAAAAATATAATAGTATTATTATTATCAATGGAATTATTGTTGATATGTGTCTTGTATTAAGTCACTATGAGTTCTCTTGACAAGCATTGCCTACTAGTTTCTAACAACCTCCCATGGGGAGTTTGAAACGGAAAGGGATGGCTTTATTCTTAGCCCCCCTCTTCTCCTCCTAGTAAAAGTATAGTGCATTGCATTGAATAAAATAATTATAAAAATATTTATTTAAAATTCAATTAAAATTATTTTGGTTATTTTTATTGACCACATTCTTATATCTATAAAAAAATTTATACCAAACTTTAAACATTTTGATTTACATAAAAAATTTGATATGTGTATATTTGTAAGTATATATTATAAATAAAATAAAATTTATAATTTTTCTTATTAAACTATCTCATCAAAATTATAAAACATAACTATGTTTCTTATCTATATGTACATAATATGAAATAGGATTGGATACTCTAAGGTCTAAAATCTTACCAAATCCATAACAACAAAGATCTCAATTCAATATAAGACTAAGAACACTAGAAGAAAACTAAAAGTAACTAAACAGAATGAAACATAAAAGAGAGAATTGAGTAAAAGAGAATAAAATCAAATAAAATCAAACAAAATCAAATAGAATGGAATAAGCAAATCAAACTTTATTGAGAGAAAGAGTCTAAAGCTATACCTAACCAAATCTTCCAAACGGCCTTAGTCAGTCCTATTTATACTTTGTTCAAGTATCTTAGATTTTTTTAGAATGCCCCTAATAGTGGGCTTTACTAAGATAACTATCTTTCTAGAAGATTCTATACATTGGTTCCACCATAATAACTACCCTAAGTCTTTCTAAAAGGTTCTATGGTGGATCTGATATGAACCACTATCCTGACATCAATTCTAGAAGCTTCCCAAAAATAATCCCAACTACATATTTTTATGTGCAAATAATACAACCATCTTATCCATGCTATGTTACAACTAATCTTCTTCCATTAGTGCGGAACGTACTTGTTTTGCTTTCAATGGTATTTTCAGATGGTTTCTTAACAATGAGTGAGGTTTTGTGCAAGTTTTCACATTGCATCATGAATAGAATAATCTTTCCAGAGGACTTTGTACTGAAATTATAGACGTCCATTGCCACGACAAAGGTAGCAATGTTCCAAAATATTGTCCACTTCATACTCCTATTGGTCATCAATCTCAATTGGTGTCAAGGACAAAGACTCGATGAGGGAAAATATACACAAAAAGGCTATCTCGATATAATAAGTCAAAATATAAACAAGTAGGTATATTAAAAAGAAACTGGAATGGCTATTGCCACAAGACAAGAAACTAAAGACTCTTGAACCTGGACTAGAAGCAAGAAAGGAGTTGACAAGAGTGAAGAAGCCTTCACTCTTGTCTCTATATATACTATCTAACTAGGGGCTACGTGGCGACGTTCTATAGGACCTCCAATATGTGTTGACTTTGTAGGACACATGCCTTGACTTACAAGGCAAGTTTTTCTACGTGTGAGGCACATAGTTAGCTTGATCTTCAAGCTAACAACATGTGTGGCACATGGCCAACTTGTTGACCACGTTTCTAATCCAAAAAGTCAATTAAAGACACCTATGAAGTCAAAGCAGCGTCTAGGAAGTTTCTAGGAAGCTTCTATATTAAATATTATAGAATTAACTTACTTTTATCTACTTTTACTTACTTCTACCTATTTCTATATGTAATTATTAGCTTACATGATTATGGCCCTGACATTACCTCCCCTTCTAGAGACGAGTTCCACGAGGAGCGGTCATCATATGTTGAGGAAATTTATGATGCGACGAATTGTATTCGCCACATACTCTGATCTCTGTTCTCTTCGAATATGATTGATAGGGCCTCTCAACCATCGGTAGTGTCCCATACCAGGGTGGGTAGACCACCCAGTTATTTGATCATTATTGAGGCCTTCGTAACTTCCTTCGAATAGAATATTCGGAAGACCATCAGGAGTTGTTCCTACCTCTAGCAAAATCACCAAACATCGAGAGTCCCTTCCCAAATCGTGATATCAAACGCGTTGTATCTCACCATCTATTCGAGGAAGAACATGTCGTTCTTGAAGATCTTCATCTCGATTTCGTCGTCTTGAAGGTTGTGACAATCGTAATGTCTCGTCTGGCAGGTCAACAAACGAAGGTTCTTGAGTTGAATCTGCTGGTTGTTGGCTTTCCATCTAATTAGCGTCACAAATGCAAAGAAGTTACAAACAAGGATAAGAAATTGAATGTTATCTTGCCTCAATCTTGTCTCTTTTATAAGAGAGATTTTCATCTTGGTTTTGATGGATGTCGTTGATGGAAAAACTTTGACTTTAGCTGATGCATTTGCTAGATTCCTGGATGGCTCCCATGTGCGTTCACTAATATCATATCCGCGCCAATGAACAAGATATTCCAGCTTATTTTGGCGTCGCCTTGAGTCTAATATCTCTTCCACCTCAAATTCTTCATTATTATCTACTTCTATAGGAGGCGGTGGCATTTGTCTTCTTCCTTGTATATCCACTGTCTTATATGGTTCAAGAAGAGACACGTGGAATACAGGATGGATCTTCATTGACTCCGGTAGATGTAACCGATATGCAACTGGGTTGATCTGTTCAGAAACAGAAAAGGGGCCAAGCCTACAATAGTCCAACTTGTCACAAGGTCGAGTAGTCTTGATATTGCGA